TTGGTCCCAAGTTCCCACAGCAGTCCCGACAAAATGGAGGACGTCGTCTCCTCCTGCAGCCATGACGGGAGGTGGGGGGGACAATTCCCCACGGGGGTGAGGCGAGGGTGGAAGTGTTCCCACTCCCCTCAGCACATTCGGGAACTCACTTCACGCGCTTCCCCGACCTCCCACTTTGCCTCGCTCCAGCCCCTTGCCGGGCTCGCCCCTCACGGGGGGCTTCAGGCATTGGACAGGGAGGGCGTTGGGGACATCGAGGCCGCGTCGCTCCTCGGGCAGGGTTGTTGGGAGCGGCTCCAGGGGCCTGGGCGTCCAGGCCCGAGCTAGGGCAGGCGGCCAGGGCCTCCGTCCCTCTGGCTGTGCGGGGCCCTGGAGAGCACCCTAGGCCCCCAGGTACCGAGCCGGAGGCCGTGCAGCGGGTAGCGAAACTCCGGCTGCCTAACCCTGACAGACCTGGGGGTGGGGGCGGTCTGGGAGGCGGGGGTGGTCTGGGAGGCGGGGGTAAGGAGGAGAGAGGACGCGGCCGAGGGCCGAGCGCCGGCCGAGGGGGGAGTGGAATGGCAACGCCGGGGGGGTGTGGTCTGTCCCTGATGGACGGCCCTCCGGACCACCCCCTCGGGGGGGGGGCCTGAAGGAAGGCAGAGGTAGCCAATGGACGTCCCCGAGGTGCCCCGGACCGCCCTTCCAGTCAGCCAATGAGGGTGCGGAGGGCGGGGCCTTCCCGGGCTCTGCCGCGCCGTCGCCTCCTCCGCCTCCTCCTCCTCACCAGCGCTAAACCCGGGACTGGACCGAGCGGAGTTGTGCGTGTTGCCGAAGGGGGGGGTGGGCCGGGGGAGGGGAGGTTCGTTCCGCGGAGCAGCAGCCAGAACCGGGTGAGGCTTATTATCCCCGCTGTCTTTCCAGTCTAGTTCCGCCGATAGTGGGGGTGGCCGGGAGCAGCGCAGCCTCGGGAGGAGGAGGCGGAGGCGGAGGCGACTGGGGAGGCGGAGATGGGTGAGGGCAGCCTCCGGAGCCTCCCACCGACCCGGGATTAATACCCCGCGGCGCGGCTGCCGTAGCCGCTACCGCGTCGGGGCCTCGGGGGCTGCTCCGGGCTCCGCTCATGTCACAGGCGTCTTCGCGTGCGGCCCGAAGGGCTGCGAGAGTGAGGGCGAGGCCGGGAGGGCTGGGTGAGGCGGACGCCAGAGGCGGGGGTCTCTCGGGGGGCGGGGGCTGCCCGGGTCGGGGCTGTGGGAGGTCGCGGGGTATTTTTCCTTTCTTTCTTGCGGCGGGGGGGTGGTGGTGGAAGGGTGGGGGGAGGGGCGCTTCAGTTCGTTCTCCCGCTCTCGGGGCTGCGCTCCGACCGTCTCCGCGGTAGCCTGAGGTCCCCAAGTTTTTCGGGGCGCGGGTGCTGCCTCTTTCCCCACCCGGTCCCCTCCGTCGCTCTTCTCTTCCCTGGGCTTCGTTGCGCGGCTCTTGCTCCTCACGTATTGTTTGGCTGGGTCTCTAATGGCGGACGGGGAGGCAGCGCTGCCGGTCGCCGACTGCAAGCGGGGGGGGGGGGGGGGGGGCAAGTCTCGGGCCCAGGGCAACTGCTTGGGGCAAATATGGGAGATAGCACCCCGAGGGTGACGTGAGCCGCCCCTTACCTCCGAATTGGTGCGGAGAGTGACGGGATGACGCTGGGTGGGCAAATTTAGGAGGGAATACAATTCCCTTGCTGGCGTCGAGGCAACGTTTGCCCTTCCCCCCCCCACCCGCCCCTTCCCAGTAGCAGGCTTGGTGCCCTCCAGCCTCCTCCCTCCAGATTTTGCTTTTCACGTGGGTTTTGTTCCCAGATATATATTTTGCGTGGTTTTCCTCTACTTTACGTAGGAGGGGATTGCTGGTTGCGGGCTGGGGAGTAATAATAGAAGGGCCAAACCTCCTTGACCTCTTACTCCCTTATCGTCTTCCTCCTGGTGGAAACGGCTCGGTTTTCCCACATGGTTGGATGTTCTTGATCCATTTTTCATTTTTCCTCTTACCCCAGGACCAGGAATCGCCTTCAACCCCAGTTGGTGCATCTTTGGCAGAAAGTGAAGAAAACACCCCCATTGTGAGTCCTTCGCCCTTAATTTGTTCTTAGAGGATCTTGTCAGGTTGTAGGGGTTCAGCCATGGGACTTGTCTGTCCCCGTTGTTTTGAGGGGGAGGAGCTTTCCCTTCGGTGGCAGCTGCCCCCGGGGTGAAGCCTGGGTAATGGCTGGTGAGGCAGCTGGGAGTGGGCGCTGCTGTTTCCACCGCTGCAGACAGAATCTCTCCTGCTGCTGCAATACCAACCTCAGCAACCAGACGACGGGCTCCTGCAGCTGCTCACGTTACCCGGGAGGAGGGGTGGTGCAAAGGAGGGCATATTTCTGGTGCCCTCTAGAGTTCCAAAGTGGGAATTGAAGTTACTTCGTTTTAAATGCTATGCATGCAACCATCTTTAACACTTTCTTCCTTTACAATGGATAATTGATTGTAGGTATTGGAAAAATACAGTCATTTGACTTTCCGTTTGTGTCTGATTTAAAAGACGCTTAGGGTTCATAGTTGGTAGATCTCTTTCATGACTTTGTTTAGGAAAGGGCATGAAATCAACTCTTCTAGTACTTTAAGTTTATTCAACTAGGTAACTAGCTCCTATGCAGATTACACCACTCCACTGCTCCAGATAATCTCTTGGTCGTCCATCTTCTGTGTTGATTAGTCTTCACTTGAGTCATTCTTGAATGTGTCACCTGAGTTATTGTTTAATGCAACAAATGTAATTTGTTGGTTTTGAGGAGCAGTCTTATAATATGCTAGACAATAAAATAAACAAAACCAGTCAAAATTTCTGTCAGTTGAGATTAGGTACAAAATATCAGTGAAGCTCCATTCTGGACTCTGTATTTCCTGAGCTCTGGACACACTGTATTTCATTGACAGTTGATACTGTAACTTGTAGTGCTTTGTCAGAGGTGAGTCATAAATACAGTCATAAATACAGGGGCTTAAATATTAAGTCCCAAATGGATCAAAAGATAATTAATAGGTGATGAATATTTTGCTGAATACTGACCTGAAAGACGATGTGAGGATGGCAACTTATATTTTAATACACAACATTCTAGGCACAATACAAGGCACTTTTGTGTATTATTTCCTTTAGTTTTAGCAAGTAGCCTTCAGACTAATAAATGTGGCACATGTTGAACCCTCATTATTTGCCAGTACAATTCTACGTTTAAAAAAAAAAAGTTTATTAATGAAAGTTAAATTTAATGAGTGAGGACAACATGCTGAACCTTTGTATTTCTGTCATTTACATTTTATAATTATCAACACATATCCAGACCGACTTTTAAATGAATTAAGTAATATAATCCTCACAAAAAAGTACTCTGTGGTAGTGTGATATTGTGAGAGACCAGTGATACATGTACTGTTTTTATTTCTAATTTGTAGAGGGGAAAATAGAGGCATAGGGAAGTACCAGGTAGTAATAGTAGTATCAGACAAGCGGTTTGATTAAGGTGCCTTAAGTTCAGCAACTAAGCTGTCCTGTGTACTGGTTTTATACATTTGGAAATTGAAACAGTGAAAAAGCCAAGGTTAGAATCCTTTCAGCTTATCCTAGAGAACAGGTAGATAGATAGCAAATGTTTGAATCTTACTGAGTACCTTTTAAAAAAAATTATAGAACTGCAGTTATGTCTTGTTTAAAAACTGTCTATTTGAGGGGTGACGGGGTGGCTCAGTTGGGTAAGCATCTGCCTTCGGCTGAGGTCATGACCTAGGGTCCTGGGATTGAGTCCCACATAGGGCAGGAAGTCTGCTTCTCTCTCCTCCCATTACTGGTGTGTGTGTGCATGCCCGTGCTCACTCACAAAAATAAATAAAATCTTTAAAAAACCATCTATTTGTATCAGAAGTAATATGTTCTTTTCAGTAAATCTGTGTACAGAATCTCTCTTAAATACTGCAACTTGAATGAATATATTGTCTGATGAATTTAAGGCTCTTCAGGGATTAAGTCATTGATGTAATGGATCAAGGATCAGATCTTCCACATAGATGGGCAATGCTTATTACCACGTATTTTCACAAAAAATTTAACTTTCTCAGATTTTTTTCTTGGTTCTTAATTGAGATGTTGATAGAGGAAAGGTTGGTAATTGGTTATATTTAATAGACATTTGGAGATGAGGACAAACAAAATGTATAACTGTATGTAATATCAGGACTATACGTAGGACGATATGTAATGTCAACACAAATATAATTATGAAAGCCATGGTTCTTTCTGATAATACTGAAAGGTGGTCCTTGTTACGCTTAATGATTTAGCTCAGAATTTAAAATTCTTTTGTTTAAAAAGACCAACTAATGGTGCTTTAACATGCCATACAGTAAGATGAAGATAACCTTATGATTTAATTGACCTTGATTAAATAAGTTCTTTGTTATACTTATTATTGGGCACTTAATGTGAGTTAGTTGCTTTTATGTGTATATATGAAGGGTTTCAGCAGTTAAAAGTACTCTTTTATATTTATGTCATCTTTATTTAGTGCATCCTTAATAGTATGTATCCCCTTTATCCTGCCTGACATTTTATTATTATTTTTGAAGATTTTATTTATTTACTTGACAGAGACACAAGTGAGAGAGGGAACACAAGTAGGGGTAGTGGAAGAGGGAGAAGCAGGCTTCCCACCAAGTAAGGTGCCCAGTAGGCTGGATCCCAGGACCCTGGGATCACGACCTCAGCCAAAGGCAGACGCTTAACAACTGAGCCACCCAGGCGCCCCACGCCTGTCATTTTTAAAGATTTAAAAAAAAATTATTTTAATGCTTTAGAGTGCATGTGTGCACAAGTGGGGGTTGAGGCAGAGGGAGAGGGAGAGAATCTCAAGCGGACTCTGAGCTAAGTTCAGAACCCCACTTGGGACTTGATCTCATGTCCCTGAGATCATGCCCTGAGCCAAAACCCAAGAGTCTCATGCTTAAACAGACTGAGCCACCCAGGCGCCCCCCGCCTGTCCTCTTCTTAAACACAGTTTTTACACTTAAAAACTGTATCTTCTTAAAAGATACAGGGTGATTTCTACTTTTCAATGTTGCATAATCTTATGGGGCAGATTTTTTTGTACCTCATGTGGTGAGACAACCCTGAATCACTCAGATACCACACTGAAGCTGACATTTGAATGTTTCAGAATTTTGCATGGATATAGAGCTTGATGTATTGTCTTTTTACCACAGTGGTTTTTTTGTTTTGTTTCGTTTTTTATTAAGGGGGGAAGGGAGAGAGAGTATCTTAAGCAGGTTCCACTGTGAGTGCAGAGTGTTCTTTTCTTAAAGATTATTCTGTTTTGCCTTTGAGGTACAAAAGTGCATAAACAGTGCATTTGAGATGAAGTGAGTCTTAAAATCAGATGCTGTAGTAGTATTGTGATGGAAAGAGTATGTATGAAATATTGGGCGCTCTATGTTGTGAAAAGGTGTGGTATAATTAGAAATTTTATATTTTTTTCTTCTAGACATTAATATCTGTCTCTGCCCCATGAACTATTAACATATATGTTATTGTATTGAATAACATTTATTTTAAGAAGACTTTGAGATATTCAGTTTGTGTGTATATTTTTAGATGAGCCCAAATGCAAATGTTTTCTCCCACTGGATTCTCAAATAGTGTTTGTGTAGGGCATTTTAAGTTACTTTGACTCCATGCATTTTCCATTTTTTAATTTCATTTGTTTAATTTTCTATTCCTGTCAGAGAGTGGAATTAGGATTTTAGTCTTTAACAGGACTTTGAACTATTCAAATCTGAAGTTTTTATGCACAACTCTAATATGTAAGACCTATAAGGTTGTCAGAAAAACTGCTGTTGCATAAATCCATAATTTTTAACTTTGGGATTCTGAGTAACAGTTGTATTTTATTTTCTATTTTGGTTATATACCAGCAAGAAAATTCTGTTCTACATAGTTGGAGTTGCAAATTTTTTTTTATCTGCAACCTGTTTTTTAAACAAGTCAGTTTGGAATCTTAGGTTTCTATTATTAAAATAGAAACAGTAAGGAAATTATAAGGGCCAGCACCAGACACAAACTTGGTAACAAGATAAATTGGTCATCTTAAATGTGTTAAAATTTGGATTGTGTGAGCATATTTGTTGTTTTATTGTGTATTTTAAAATCTATTAATTTTTTGCATCAAGTGTTATATAACACTTTGGAACTGCAGAATAATTTTTGTAAACCAATGGGAAAATCGGTTGTGGAGTTTAAAAAAGATGTTTTAGAGAGGTTTATGAAATCACTTGGTCACGTGACTTGTTTGGGATTTGTTCTTAGTACTATTTTTTTTTTTTAAGATTTTATTTATTAATTTGACAGATCACAAGTAGGCAGAGAGGCAGACGGTGGGGTTGGGGTGGGGGAAGCGGCCTCCCTGCTGAGCAGAGAGCCCAATGCAGGGCTCAGTCCCAGGACCCTGAGATCATGACCTGAGCCAAAGGCAGAGTCTTAATCCATTGGTGCCCCCTATGTTATTTTTAACTTAATAGCAGTTCATTGAAAGTTAGAAGTAACAAAATTTAAGAAAAATTCATGGTCCTTAAATTGAAAGAAGTATATGATTTTTGGGGTTTTATTTTTATTGATTTGATTACTGTCTTGTAAGTATTTATACTTACTATTACAAGAAATGATTTAAGAGTAAACTTTGGATATTAGGGTAAGTAGGTAATAAGAAAAAAGATCTGAGTATTTCATTATTACATGTTGTCTAGTTTTTGTTTATATTTGAAGAATTACATTACCGTTTTAACCATGCTTTTTAATCTCAATAGATTGCCGAGGATCAGGTTTCTCCTACTTTTCCAGAGTGTACTAGATTTTTTTCTCCTGGTGTTCCTAGTGAATTTGAAGGTTGAATTTGTTAACGTGAATTTCAGATTTAAAGGTTAGAAAAAAATACACCTAAACTAATAATACAATGTTATATGCCAGCTATAGCTTCATTAAAAAAAGTTTTAAAACATTTTATTCTTAAATTATTAAATATTTTAATATGGTTCTCATTTAAAATTAATATTAAATTGTAATTTAAGAGTAATTGTAATTTACTAGTAGAATTAATTGTTGTAACCACATTAAAAAATTGGGAAAGAGGTTACAATTCTTAGAGTAAACATTTCTTTCTAACTGTACATTTAGGTTGGTTAAGAAAAATACTTAAATGGCAATTTTAAGTAAGATTGTGGTGCTTAGTTATAGTTTTCAGACAGAAGAAAGTTCACAAAATGTGACATACAATGAGACAAATTCTTTAGTTTTTTTACTTTATGTCAATGTCAATACTTTTGCTGTACCCACCTAGATAGATATATTATCTGATTTATTATTCTAAGAGTTTGGAGCTGAAATTATGGTTTCATAACTTAAAGGACTTTTTTTTGTAATACTGGAACAGTTTTATAATAATTTCTAAAAGGCATGTCTTTTGACTAGAAAGTGTAGTATTTTTTGCACTATTGAGCCTGCTGGACCAGACTGAGAATAGTTCAGGGTAATCAGGGCACTACAGAAATCATTCAATAATTTATGTATTATAATGTTTATTAATGTCAAGTAATCATAAAAATTATGTTCTGTTAGTAGTTGCTGAGCAGGGAGCCAGACTTGCGGCTTGGTCCCAGGACCCTGGGATTATGACCTGAGCCAACAGCAGATAGTTGACTGACTGAGCCACCCAGGCAACCCCTTAACTTTACAACTTTAATTACTATGAATGTTTTTCACTTTGTGTTTCTATTTTTGTGTGTGTGTGTGTGTTTTTATTTTTGTTTGACTTGCTTAATACTGTATAGTTCTATTTCTTAAGTTTTAATTTCTGCTTAGTAAGTCATTTCGTTCTGTATCTGAACAGTTTTATGTTGCATATCAAAGAAAAGCTTCTGTTCAAGTCTTTGTCTTCCATGACCCAAACTCCTGATTTCTATTACTTTCTTTTCTTCATCCACAGATTACATTTTTCCATCCTATGTCCTTGCTCAGCTGATTTCATCCTACCTTCCTCCTGGAGTTTATTTTTCATTTTTTTTCCCCATTTCTAACTGCTTTTACATTAAAAAAAAATAGCACACAGTATCTCTGCTTTTTTTTTTTTTGCTCTACTTGTATGAGGCATATCCAAATTTTAGTAAACTTTTGAATTTGCTGAGATCATGGAATGAGGGTACGGTTCTAGTGGTATGTTGGTGCCTCACATGGACGGGGAGCTAATGGGAGTTAATTTGAGTTTTTTCTGCCTAAAAAAATTAGTTTTGTTACTTGATGTTGCCAGGGCCTTTGTGGTGTGACATGAGTTTAGAGCCAGAGAGATCAGGGTTCAAATCTGCCCTTGCTTTTGAGGGACGTTTTGGGATGATAAAAGTTTTCTTAAACTAGATAGTGGTGATAACTGCGTAAGTGTATAAATTTACAAAGAATTGTCAAGCTTGTCACTTAAAATGAATAAATATAAAGATTTTTAAATTTATTTTAGAGAGAGAGGGGTACAGAAACCAACTAGTGGTGGGAGGGGCAGAGGGAAAGGGGGAGAGAGAATCCCAAGCAGACTCCCTGTTGCAGGGCTCGCTCTCAGGACCCTGAGATAATGACCAGAGCGAAATCAAGAGATGCTTGCAATTAGGCAACCCTAAAATAAGTAAATTGTATGAAAATTATGCCCCTATAAAATTGTTAAAAACAGTTTTGCTTTACCATTTATTTACCAATTTGTGATCTGTAGTAAGTTATTTAATCTTTGAGCCTTGGTTTACTCATCTGACAAATGAGTATAATAATGCCTGCTTTTCTGTGATTGCTGTGATATAAAAATTAAGAATCATACAGAGTATGTGACTGGTCAATGGGTGATCAGTTAATAGCTGCTAAGATTCTTAATCTGACTGAGTCGACCAAACACCATGAAATTTTTTTGCCACCACTGGTAAAATAGACTCCTCCGAATGCTCATCAGATTGTAGAGGGAAGGAATTTTTTCCTTCACCGATTTCCCTCTGCCTGCTTCTTTGTTAGTCTGTAAGTATGCTAAAGTGCTCTATCCTTCAGAATCTCGGCAGAATCTTTCCACTCCTCCTAACTTCTTTGTTTTTCCCTTATTTTTCAGAAGAAATTTTGCTGATTTGTGCTCACAACACTGTGCCAAATCTGTATTTTTGAGGTTGCTAGTGATTTGTCAAATCCTAAAGTGGTTCTTTCTCATCTTAATTCTCTAGCATTTGAAATTTAATATTCCTTGAAACTCTTGATTTCTGGGACTGTGCACTTAATGTGGTCTTATACTTCTGACTATCTCCTTTACTTTCCCTCATTTGACTCAAATGTTGAGACCTTTAAGTGTTTTTACGTCCTAAGGCCCTCAGCTCTCTCTAGTTTTGTTTCGTACATTGACTGTAGTCCATTGTGTTCAATAATAGGGAGTTATGTTTACAAGGGAATTTTCATCCTATTCCTTATTCCAGTCTACAGCCATTAATTTTTCATAAAGCCCTGTCTGATCACATTACTCACTTTGTAAAAATTTGAGAGATTCTTGTTGGCTTGTGAAACAAAATAGGAACTAAGCTTAAAACCCTTAAAAAGAATAAATCAATTAGGAAATGTGTTACATGTGATTTTTAATAGGTTCTCAGTGTTCATTTTACAATCATGTAAATGAATGAGTATAAACAATGAAGCATAACAGGTAATATACAGACGTTAGTAATTACATGCATGTCAGGGCAGTTCTTAATATTTTGGTTATAAAAATAAAACATGCCCTTAAAATCTTAAAGTACTAAGGGAATGTGATGTAGAAAATGGAAGCTCCCCCCAATCCCATTTTATTTGAGATGTTTACATTTTTAAATGTGTATTCTTACATTTTTTCCCTGTTCATTATACTAATATTTTGCACATATATTATCATTAACTGACATTTTCTACACAAGTCTGACATTCTTGTAATTCTTTCCCTATCCTTATTTTGCAGAAATCTTCAGTTGATTAACATTTGAATTCTAGTGGTTGTTGTATTAGAATAGTTCTTAAGTCTCAGTTCTGTGTGATTGAGGGATAGTGTGGTATAATGTGTGGACTTAGGGCACAGACTCTGGTTTTGCACCTAACAGTGATGGAACATAGGAAAGCTACCTGCTTACACAGAATAGTTTTACGCATCTGCAAATTGGGGTAGTAGTGATAATAAAATATTTAAGGTATCTATTATAAGGTAAATTTTATGGTAATTGCGATCATGCTACCAAATGTGTCTTTTATAAATAGTAGCTGTTACTGTTATTTTACTATATATGTGATAAAATTCAGAGACAAAAAAGGAGAACTCTAGTCATGAAGGGGTTGAATAAAAGGGTTAAACTAAAATAAGACTGCGTGCCTTTACTTCAGAGTTGTACATATTTACTAGATATTTAAAAAAAAACCCGAGATCGAATTGTATATGATGAGTAGGATTGTCTATTTATTTTCTGTAATTTGTCCACCAAAGGGGAGAAAACGCAGGTTTTCTTTGGTATACTCCTATGTTCTCTCTGTATTCGTTTCATTTTAAGACCAACGAACATCTGAAGAACATATCTCTGGGAGAGGATGCTGGTAAAAATTGTCATGAGTTTTGGGGTGCCTGACTGGCTCAGTTGGTTAAGCCTCTGCCTTTGGTGCAGGTCATAATCTGCACCAGATTGGGGACCTGGGATCGAGGCCTGTGTTGGGCTCCAGCCCTGACTGGACTCCCTGCTGATCAGGAACAGGGAGTCTGCTTTTTCCTCTCCCTCTGAACCTCTTTTCATAATTTGTGCATTCGTGCTGTCTCAAATGAATAAATGAAAAATCTTGTCAGGAAAAAAAAATTGTCATGAGTTTCGAGTCTTCAGCAACAAAGGGAATAGATTTTTCTTTAGTAAAAATCTGTATTGGAGAAATAGATTCTTAGTACCTGAAGCCTTTTTGAATCTGTGATCTCATTTGCTTATTGATGCAGGTTTTACTGTTTCATTACGTTGGATGGCTCTTAATCATGGGACTTTTGAATTCATGTAAGCAAAGTGTATTCTTTGTAAAGCCCTTCATTCTGTCATGTTAAAAACACTGGGAAAATTTCGTATCAAAGACAGTCATTTGGGGGCGCCTGGGTGGCTCAGTGGGTTAAAGCCCCTGCCTTTGGCTCAGGTCATGATCCCAGGAGCCCCGCATCGGGCTCTGTGCTTAGCAGGGAGCCTGCTTCTTCCTCTCTCTCCCTGCTTCTCTGCCTACTTGTGATCTCTGTCAGTCAAATAAATAAATAAAATCTTTAAAAAAAAAAAAAAAAAGACAGTCATTTGCTAGATCATAGATTTGAAATAGCAAGTGTTTTAAGAATAAATGAATGTTTCCAAATTAACATACATGGTTGAAGTTTACTTGTGTTACTGTAGATTTTAAACTACGTTTGGAGAAGGAAGTGGTTTATTTAGCTGTTTTGGTTAAGGATTAAAAAGGGATAGGGCATGATAACTTTTAATAGGGTCAAGATTAAGCCGTGTTACTAATTATGTAGATTGAAATTGGAGGTAATAAAAAGTCATGATGAAAGACACAGGGCAGAGATTTTTATTGTTTCATCTTTTGAGAACATTTTAATTTACTGTTTTATAATGGGTAAACTGAAGCTCAAGGGTGAAATGATTGTTCTGTGGATCACAGGAACGGAGGGAGAGATAGAGGTAGAATTCAGTTGTGGGGAAGTGTTGGGGGATAGCAGTAAAAAAACAAGAATTCACAGAAGTTATTTGTTACCTCCTTTTTTTAGAGGAAAATATTCATTCAGTAATTATTCAGGCATTATGTTAAGTACAGAGGATACAGTGATAGACGATAAATCCGTAGGTCTTTTCCCTCATGGAACACACAGTCTAATGGGGAATACAGATTACAAGTAAACAAAATTACAGACTGGATAACTTGAGCTGAGGAAATGTGTGTGATGACACGAGTATAATAAGGGAGAACTTAACTTAGACCAGATACGGTTAATGAAGTGTTTGATAGGGAAGGCTCTTGAGAGAGTGACATTTGTTTTCATTTTTTTAAAGTTTATTTGTAAATTCCAGTTAACATACAGTGCAATATTAGTTTCAGGTCTATAATACAGTGATTGAACACTTTTCTATATCACCTGGTGCTCATCACAACAAGTACACTCCTTAATCCCATTACCTGTTTTACTTTTTAAAAGATTTTATTTTTTATTTTTTATTTGACAAGAGTACAAGCAGGGGGAGTGGGAGAGTGGGATGTGGGGCTTGATCCCAGGAGCCTGGGATCATGACCTGAATTGAAGCAGACACTTAACTGACGGAACCACCCAGGCCCTCCCAACCCCCCATTATCTATTTAACCCATCCACCTCCCTTCTGGTAACTATCAGTTTGTTCTCTATAATTAAGAGTCTGTTTTTTGGTTTGCCTCTCTATTTTTTGCCTTTGTTGGTTGGTTTTGTTTCTTAAATTCCACATATGAGTGAAATCATATGTTATTTGTCATTCTTTGACTGACTTATTAATTTAGCATAACACTCTTCTAGCTCCATCCACGTCATTGCACATGGCAAGATTTCATTCTTTTTTATGGCTGAGTAATACTGTGTGTGTGTGTAACACACACATACATACATAAACACCATGTCTTTCTCCATTTGTCAGTCTGTGGACACTTGGGCTGTTTTCATAATTTGGCTATTATAGATAGTGTTGCTATAAACATCGGGGTGCTTTTGAATTAGTATTTTGTATTCTTTGAGTAAATACCTAGTAGCGTGATTGCTGGATCGTAGAGTAGTTCCATTTTTTTTTTTTTCTTTAAAGGTGTTATAAATACCTGGGTGGCTCAGTTAAGAGGCTGCATTTGGCCCAGGTCATGATCTCAGGGTCATGGAATCGAGCTTCACATTGGGCCAGGTTCCTCACTTAGCAGGGAGTCTGCTTTTCCCCCTCCCTCTGCCGCTCCCTCTACTTGTGTGCTCTCACTCTCTCTGTCAAATAAATAAATAAAATCTTTAAAAAAAAAATAAAGGTGTTACATT